TACTTCATTCTCGTGTCATTTCTAAGCTTTACTCGTTCTATCCTGTTAATCTATTCAATGTTAAGACTGCTATTAAGTAATTTTGACAGCAATTTTCATTCTTTGGAAATGTGTATGTATGTATTTTAGTGTTTTTTTCTAGAATTTTTACATCTACTAACGTATAAATATTCATCTCTTCTACCACTACATATTTTTTTCATAGTTATTGTCGGTATTCTACTACTCTTTATTAATATGTTTTATGGAGTGTGTAGATTGATTATAAATAGTGATGATGATTATTATAAGCATAGATGAATGGTGACTGGCGGTGGAATCCAAGACATTCATTTCATCCTAGTGACCATCTGAACTCAGTAGCTAATTGGATAATGCGATGGCTTTTGGAGTAGACGGTACTGGGTTCCAATCTTCGAGTGAACATGAACTGCCAAATACAGTCGCATCTAGCTGACGAATCCCAAATAGGACGAGACGCTCGTCCCAGATTCTACTGCCGCCCACCATCTGTCTCTCTTTAAAATGCTTATGATTTAAGGTTACATCGAAGCAATCCGCACAAGATATACATGTGGCGATAAGAAACAAATCAATTGCCATCCTAAACATCAATGGGAAAATTTAAATAATCATTATAAGATGTAATAAATATTACTATTGTATCTGGGTTGTAATCAGTTAAAGAAAAAACCATTTTGATGTTCTCTCTTGAATCACATTTATGGACTAGAAAAGTTGTACAATGAAACTTCTAGTGAAATTTGCTGTTTTTATATTATTATATTTTGATTTTTCATTAGAATTTATGGGAGAATGTCTATCAGTTAAACAATATTTAATATTCACTCAATGTTAGTTTAAAGATATATATAGCAACCAAGAAAACTTCCACAGTAATCTATGAAATTGACACCAGTCGTTTAACATGGAGTATCTTCAATATAAGAAAATTTGTGCGGCCCTTTTTCCCTATAAAATATATTATCCTAGCCAATTAAATGGCACAAATATTCAGCTTTAATGTTCTATTAAATTACAATATTCAAGAAGTATGAATTCTGTACTGCTCTTTTTTGAAATTATTTTACTTTTAATATACTTCTAACAAGTAAGCATTTCAAATGGAGTTCCATTTAAATAATATTGTATAGATTAATGTTTATTCTGATTTGTAATTGTTCGATCTCACCTCGTGTTAGCTATATTTATTCTGACCATTTCTCTCACAATTTCATTTCACTTATAAACTGATTCTAGTTAACACTTCATATTAGTCAGCCCCAACATTGACGATGTGATTTGATTTTATATCACAAGCACTCCTTGATTCACATGTTACAGTTTCTTAAATGATGTACTCTGCCCTAAACTTGGACAATTTTTTTATGGATTATTAATTTGGATTTATAATTGTAGAACCTGATGAGAAATTATTGAAAAGAATATTCTTCTTTCATATAATTGTGTTTTAATATATTGTTTATTTAAGTTAAAAAGTTTAAAGGCGATGTTAGATTTGATATATTGAAAAACCATCTGAATAGGTCAAAGCAAAATATATTTAAGGCTACAAATATTCATGTAAACTACTATAGTCACCTTTTTATATCTCCTCATTCGGAATTTAAGTTGCCTTGACTAACTGACTTAATGTGCATGTGCCAGTTTACCTGATTCTGTGGAAGAAGATATGTAGGTTCTAAGTCGAGGTTACTTCTTTCTCTCGTTTCAGCAGAATCTACCTTTGTAGTTTAACAAAGTGGAAAAGGTCAATTATGTTATCTTCTCTGCACTAAGTATTTAATACAAGAACATTTAGTTTTAATTTTATCATAGTTGAAAGCGTGAGTCAATTGAAGCTAGACAACCATCGAAAACCTGGAAACACTGGACGGCCGTTTCGTCCTATTATGGGACTCCTCAGCAGTGCGCATCCACGAACCTGCTCTCGCGAGCGAGATTCGAACCCAGGACCCACCAGTCTCGAGCCGAAACCCTTAACCGATAGACCACTGAGCTGGCATCCAACGGTGTTAATGTCTAACTTCAACTGATCCACGAAGTTGAGCAATCATTCACCAATTGTCTTCAGTGAGTTCCTATCTCACAACAGACGTGGTTTTGAACTCCACTGGTCACTGCTTCTCACTAGAGCTCCTAGATATACTTCTCGAAGTCACTAAGGAGTCCCATAGTAGGACGAAACGGCCGTCCAGTGTTTTCAGGTTTTCCATGGTAGTCTAGCTTCAATTGACTGACGCCTTCAGCTGTGATAAATACTAAATCTCCACAAAACCCCTTCTGATTTTAATTTTATCTTTGATCGTGAGTGGAAGATGTCAAGAAGTTTACGCCTAAACCTATTTTATACTTCAAGAACTTTGATCATTTATAATTTATCTGTACAGAAACAATTTATTTCACTGTTCACCTTATTATCGCCTCAGTTAGTTTTTTTCTTTATTTGATCCTTCTTTTCGTATTTCACTTCCACTTTTACATTAGTGGATTTATTTCACCATTATGTTGTTAGTATTGTTACAAAGGTTGTTTCTAACTAATTTTCTTGATTACTACCTTAACATCTTAATTTTATCTCAGTGATAATCACAGCTGTTCAGTTCACGTTTACATCTTAACGTTTCTCATGTTTCAGCAACTCCTTCCTTCAGTGTATAGTGTTGAAAACGAACTCGTTTCAAAAGGATTCATCTTTTGAATAAAACGAGTAAATTGGGATAATCTAAATTTTGTATTGACTTCGCCTTAATCTTTTATTTTTCTCATATTATCCATTTTTCTATACCGAATGTTCAGTCGAGGTGATACATTTCTTTTCATACCTTAATAATAATACTTCTCAAACTACTTCAGAAGAAGAGTAATAATATGTTTAACTTTTTTTAACAGAATCATTATCTATTTTGAAAACATCTATTCGCATGTACATTATAACATAAGGTTAGGTCAGATATTTTAACAGCCGATTAGGTTTTGATAACCATACATGTTGGATCAATCTCAGTCGGTTATTTGAAAATACAAGTGTATGTAATGAATATACCTGATATATTCTTAATATGTTACTCGTAAAAGAAAATTTTAATTTCTTAGAATGATTTACTTAACTATTTTTACATTTCTATATATATATATATCGATAGATTAAAAAGAATGAGCAATGTACCATCGATATATAAATCTGATAAAAATAGGAATATTTTTTACCAACATATATGACTACAAAATGTTTTAGTTCTGATTTGTTGTAATACTTAGGGTAGTTCACTCTGTCAAACATAATACTAAGCTTCAAATGGGTTATAAACCAGTTTTCAAATGATAACCAATCCTAGATATTATTAAACGTTTCAAATAGTACAACGGAACAACAGGAATATTGGGTGCGATCATTATTCGTGTTGTTCCGTTGTACTACTTAAACTTGGATTAATGTGAATTTGATTATTCCTTATCTGAAGAAGTGGCTTACACTGAGTCACGAAACATCAGAAAATCTAATTTTTTCTTCTCATTGGGATATTAGAAATATATCATTTTTATTTATAGCCATCTACTCAATGATCAATTTATTCAAAATTATCAAATCAAAACTTTGTAATGAAACCGAAAAACCACATATTGTTTTACTGAAAATTGTTTCCATACTAGAGCGAATAAATTTAAATAATTGATCGAAAAGTCATCATCTATTATTATATATACATTCAAACATTTTAAAACAGAAAACAAAATTTATTTTCAAAAAAAATGTTCATTTATAATTTCAATCGTTTAAAGATCTCTATCATCATTGAAAGACTAGTATTTGATTGAAGAATATTCTTTTCGAAAAATTCTTTTCAGGTTCTACAATCATCCAAACTAATAATCCAAAAAAATTGCCAGGATAAAGGCAAAGTACATCGTTTAAAGCTTGTCAATTTAGGATTGTCAAACCCAATATAATAAAATTGTTAATGTTGATATGACTCATATAGAATGTTAACTTGAATCTGTATATATATTAAGGTAACATGGTGGTTGGAGGTGGTCAACAGGAAACCCTAGACCCGGGTTTCGTGCTACTTGGCACTCGTCAGCAAGGTGTACCTGTAATCTTGAGGGAACTGATGCTCCCTGACGGATTCGGTACCATGTCACCCGGCTTCACAGTCAGAGACGCTACCACTGAGCTAGTCGGGCCGCGACCGACCTCTTGTAAGACTGAGATCTAATCACAATTGATTGATCACTGGGTGGTGATTAATCTCATGCTGGATCGAATCCGTCAGGGAGCATCAGTTCCCTCAAGATTACAGGTACACCTTGCTGACGAGTGCCAAGTAGCACGAAACCCGGGTCTAGGGTTTCCTGTTGACCACCTCCAAACACCATGTTACCTTAATATATATAGTGCACGCAGTGTCGAGCCACCTAGACTGGTGGCCACATTGCAACTTGATCGATAGCATTCGATCAGCACTAAGGACTTGACAAGCATGACATTGATCACCATCCAGTGATCAATCAATTTTGATTGAATCTGTATATATGTTAAGTGAATATTTAAGATCTGTGATCAGAATAAATATGGATCAGATAGGGGGAGAGAGATATGATAGTTCAATTACAATTCGATCAAGTGGAAGACTAAATTGTGTGAAAAATTAGTTAGACGTAATAAGGAGGGATCAATGCGAAGTGAATGAATCATGTATAGGGGAGATTAATAATGATGTTTAACCAATAATAATAAAATACGAAGATTTGTGTATAAAGATAAGAGAGATAATTACATTTGACTACTGCCTCAGCTGTTTGATGGACTTTAAGCTTAACAAGCTTTGGTATAAAATTACTCACCTTATAAATAATTGAAAAGGATTGGTTTATACTGGCACTATGAATAGTTTGTACTAAATGGACCAATATCTAGCTGTTAACTTTCTTTATCAAACCTTTACTTCTGAGAGGTAATAACGAGCACCAAAATGTAAATTCCTAGAACTTCGACCAATTTAACTTGATCTACAAGAGCAGTCGAACTGATAAATAAAAAATGAGGTGGTCATTCTAGGTAATTCATCTTTAAGCCTCGGTGTCACCATTGGGCGAGCAGAAAACAATAAACGTAGTTCCCCTGATTATTATTTAGGATATATATTTGTAGAACCTGAAGAGAATTTATTGAAAAGAATATTCGCCGTTCAAATATTAGTCTTATAATTTCAATTAAAAAAAACATTCAAGGTAAAATTATGTAAACATTTAAAATAAACTAAAATCTAGGATGGATGAAACACATTCCTAGATAAGTATTGATTGGACAAACAATCTGAATTTTTATATTCTATAAAAAATACATTTCATTATATAGTTTGTAAAGATTCTCTAGATGTTTGTCGTTTAGGTGATTTGAATGTTGAATATTTGATTTCATCAATCAAATAAATGTCTAGATCTTGATTATCTTCAATGTTATGTTTATTTTCGTCAAAGCTTAAATTTCTACCGACATGTAGCTGTTGTTGTTGTTGTTGTTGTTGACGATCATGATTACGAGTTCTTCCGATTTTAGAAAAGTGACTTATTGTTGGTATTAATTGTTTATTATTATTATTATTATTGTTATTACTATCATTATAGAGTTTGTCTCTTGATTTAGGAAGACATGTATTATTATTATTATTATTTGTGCTAGAGTCATGAATATCTTCAATATTCTGATTGAAGAATATATTAGATGAATTATTCAATAAAGGTGTATATAATTTATATGATGTTATCTCCATTATTGTACTTTTATCTTGAATACTTGGTGTTTCATTAACTTGTGACATCTCACATAAATTTAATCTTTGTGTATTTAATAAAATTGTATTATTTTCATAATTTTTTGTATGAATTTGATTGATTTCAAATTTTTTTGATATTTGATTATTATTTGTATTATTAAAGCATAATGAAAAAAAACATGAAAAATAGTTGCTATGTGAACAACTTATATCATGATAATGATTTTTTAAATTTAATTGATTAAAATAAAATTTAATTTGTTTAAATTGATTAAATAATAATAATAATAAATATTTACGAAATAATTTACCTGTTATACAAAATAAATAAAAATTCATTGAATGATTAATATACATAAATAATTCAGATATTGTATCAATAAAATAAAAATTAATTCTAATATTCAATTTATTTTTACCGCGTAAATCAATAATTTGTGCTAAAATTTTAATTAATACAATAAAAAATGTTGTAAATAAAAATAAAAATGAAATAATCAATAAAATAATAGTTAATTGTTTTATATTATAATTAGTTTCATTAATTTTTGTATTTTTATGATTGATTATTGATTTTTTAGTTACTATGGTAGGTATTGATGATAATGAATTATGATTTCTTGAATATTTCAATTTACATTGATGTATATGTAAATGTTTACGTTCTTTATTTGCACGATATACAGATTTTAATATAATAATATTAAATCCAAATATTAAACAAAATGGTAAATATGAATAGAAAATTGCATCAAATGATGACCAATACCAATTTAATGTAGAATATTGTGGTAAAATTGTACATTGATTAAAACATTTCATTTTTGTTTTATGTTTCATAAATGGTATAGTTAAATTGATTTGTATCGTTTGATTTATTGTTGTTAACCATGAAGAAGATGATGAATTTTGTAATTCATGTAAACAATTTGAAGTAATACCTACTGTAAAATAAAAATGTAAACTTAATATTACACATAATATACTTAAAATGATAATCATATTTCTTATACGTGTATAACTAATCCATTGTGAAACATGTAATGGAAAACTAACAACTAATGCACGTTCAGCTGTTAAACTTACAGTTAACCATACGGATAATAAACTTGATGATGTACCCCAAAAATGTATCATTTTACACATAAAATTTGATGTATTTTCAAATTTTGTATCAAATATTTTATCAATCCATCTACGTAATAATCCAACAATTAATACTATTTCATCAACAATTGAACGTGCTATTAAATAAAGAATTATTGTTACAGAACCAGTTGATATATGTCGTAATATAATGAATGATAAAACATTACCTAAACTACCAAATATAAATAGTATTGGTGGTATATACATCCATAATAAATGGATTATATTACATATATATAATTGTGATCTCGTTAATTGTATCCCTTTTAATCTTTCGGTTAAATTATTTATATAATCATTCAGTAATAAGATTGAAAAATTATCATATTTATTTAAAAAATTATTTCTTTTATCTATATTTGTTTCAGAAAGTTGACTATTGGTTAGTATAAAGTCAAGACTTTTTGATATAAATAATTTAGAATCATGACATACATCTTCAATCATTTTTCATATAAATAATTAAATTTAATAAAATAATTTATAAGATAATGTTCATCTAATTATTAATTTGAATAGATTAAAGTTTAGAGTGTTCCCTTTTGTTACTATAAGCTATTTATATATATAGAAAAGTTCATGATAAACTGACCAATCAGAATGTCACATTATTGAGAAATAATTAACCAATCATAAGCGAGCAAATAAAAGTTATTACTTTACAGCTGATTATGTTTACTTATATTGGTTTTTTTCATATTGGTTAAATTTTAGTTTAGCAAATTATTATTACGATTTATCTATTCTATTTATTTTCTATACGAAAACATATGGAAAGCTAATATTGTAGTATGGTCTACTTATATCCATATAAGTAGTATATAGTGATGATCAGACATAGAATGTATTTTGGCAGGAGATCGAGAAGGAAGGAATTGAAATGAAGCTGACTCATATTATTTTGACATGAGACTTTAATATAACATGATATTTTTTCAGATGATTAAAATAACTCATAATATCATTGAATAAGAAAAAGAGAATTCAGCGAAGAAAATTTTCTTTTCGAGGAAATCATTTACTTAAGCTGTACGTTCGTATATATAGTTATATGGAAAATATATATACGAATGTACAGTTTAAGTAAATGATTTCGTCGAAAAGAAAATTTTCTTCGCTGAATTCTCTTTTTCATATTTTTTTTCTCTTGATCATATTCAATGTAAAGTATTCAGAATTTATTCATTAACTTTATAAACTAATTTAGGTCTCTACTTTATTTTAGTTGACTTGGCAAACCTTCTACAAAAGGAAGTTTAATGAATTTTATGACAAGCCTTAATGTAAGACGTTAACCAAATCGTATCTGATTCATTTAGCTGACGACCGTATCATGTAGTTGTTGTTCCACCCCATTTATGAACTGATGATTATAATAAAATTTATAGATATTCAACCAGATGTAAAAAGTAAAACTTTAAAGACCGTGCAAAATTTGAAGCAGTTCAACAAAATTATAAAGCCAGAATCATATTTTATTCACTGACTTTCACCAGTTCATACTTAAATGTTAGTTCATGGTAAAATAAACGTTCCAATTTTATTGAGAAGATTTATGGTCTTAAACGTCCAAAAATTTTAAGCCCAGATGTCTGACTAATTATCCACACATGAGTGAATCGTTTACGTTCATGAACTGTCATTCAATTTCATATATATGCTTTAAAAATATTTAGCATAATATGCTAAAAATATTACGTATTTATCGTGTTAACTTATCTTCATGATCTTATACAATCTATTTCAAAGTTTACAAAGTAGATTTTTAAAAACAAGGGTATTCTTAGGTATCAATACCAAGTTTTGATTTGATAATTTCGAATAAATTGAACATTGGTTAGATTGCTATAAATAAACTAATATATATGTAATATCTCCATAAGTAAACTTCAAATGAAATCGGCAATAACAGTTCACACCATTTTCAACGACCAACAAATCAAGTTCAAAAATATAAAAATATTACAAAAAAGTTCTTTCCAATTACAAATAGAGGAGAGTAGCTGAAATATTCCATATAATGCTTAATACTACTTCTCTCAATAGAAAAGAAGGCCCTAACATACATCCTACTTGGACTATCTATCCTAGCCACCTAGTCTGATATTATTTATAATCCGCACTATTAACTTACAAATTGAACTCTATCCTTCCTCGCCATAAGAGTCGCACGATTTTCATCCTGTACAGTGCACATATACATATACACAAATTTACATACATGTGGCTTGTGAATCACCCTGACTGAAATGACATAACATTGATTTATTCAGACCGGTTTTTTTTATTTATCACATAATATTCTTATTGATCCGTTGTACTATTTAAACTTCGATTAATGTTTATTTGGTCATCCTCTGAAGAAGTGTCTTACACTGAGTCATGGAACGTTAGAAGTTTGTTTAACAATTATTGTTAAAATTGGTTTTAGTCTGACTTAATTCTGTAGTAAATTTAAATGATAATGACGAGTTAAAATATAAGAACAATGGATGTTTCATCAAAACGATAACAATAAACAATAACTGAAAAAGAATGAAGTATTTAATCGACAGAGTTTAGAAACTAGACTGGAGAAAATCATCGTATCTCTATTTGGCTAAAAAAAATAAATTAAGTTAGAATAGATAAATCGTTCATTTTATATGGTTGAAATCATGAGTCAATTGAAGCTAGACTACCATGGAAAACCTGGAAGCACTGGACGTCCGATTCATCCTATTGTGAGACTCCTTAGCAGTGGAGTTCAGCTACGTCTGTTGTGAGATACCAACCCACTGAAGACATTGGTAAATGGTTGCTCAACTTCGTGGATTGGTTGAAGTTAGACATTAACACCGTTGGATACCGGCTCAGTGGTCTAATGGTTAAGCGCTCGCGCTGGAGACTGATAGGTCCTGAGTTTGAATCACGCGAGGAGGGTTGGTGGATGCGAACTGCTGAGAAATCTCATAATCGGACGAAACGGCTGTCCAGTGCTTCCATGTTTTCCATGATGGTCTAGCTTCGATCGATTCATGATTTCAACTACAAAAATTACTAAAATCACCACAAAACCCCCTTCTAATAAATCTTTCTTTAATATTTATTTTAAGCAGTTTACATCAATCGTTTAAATTTGAGAAACTTTGTATTAAGTATAAAACTTTTGTGTCCTATAAAGTTATTTATGTTTATCCAAATATTTATATATAGATATATAGAATACTAATAAATTCTCTGAGCCTAATCAAAATTATATTACACAAATATGTATGTATCGAAAATATATAGTGTGAGCTTTATATAAATCAGAGGCATGACAAATTCAGTGACCTCAACTAATAAACGAGGAAGTAAATGGGATTTTTTATGTACCAACATTAGTTTATTTACAAGTTCAACTTATTTACATCAAGATTTCAATCAAAATCTTAAAATATTTATATTTATCGACATTAATGAATGAATACTAGCCCAATCATCATAAATAGGGAACTTATACGAAATAAGAGAAAGAATAATAGCTGATAAAACCCAAACCATCTGGCTTATAACTGCATCACGGTTAATTTGAATGAACCGTTTTGTTAAAATTCCGAATTAAACAACAGTACAAATTTGCTAAGTTAGTTGTGATGTCCGCTGGAAATTCTTCAACTATTTGAAAATTATTTCTTAAACTTCAGATGTTCTTTCCTAATTTGGTTATTTTAGAAGTAGTGGAAATTAAATCCTAGAGTAACATTATGTCTGCAAACATCAAAAAAATAATGAGTAGTTGTTTTGTTTGAAATTTGGAATTCTCAGCAGGAGTTAGTCCGGCCTTGAGCTACATTTCGACTACTCGTACCGGGATTCGTCAAAGTATACATGTGGTGTTGTCTACTTATATCCATATAAGTAGTATATGGCGTGGGTCAGACATAGAATGTATTTTGGCAGAAGACCGATGAGGAAAGAACTGAAATGAAGCGCAATCGTTTGGAAAATGCATGAGCAATGGAATAAGAGAAGAAACAGTGAAGATTGAAACAATTGGTTATTAATTTGCAAATTGACTGTTCATTGTTTGGTAATCAGAATTTACTGAGATAGTCTGTAATCTTTGCTTAAATACATTCGATTGTCCCCCAGTCGTGTTCTGTTCACAACATACATACTAAGTCTTTTAACTCAGAAAGTTATATCAAATATAATGCAGAAAAATTGTTAAATATTGATATTTTTGTCGCCAAATGTAACAGGAATCGTAGAAGACATTTGAAATTAATCGTGAAATACAATAAACATCTTTTCACCGAGAACAAAATTAATAATGTTGTTTTCAAGCGTTAGAAATCAAACATAGTGTTACTGTGATGTACCTATTTCTGTCAGGTGTGGAGTGTTTCGCGAATGCTGTTCGTACCTGATTCATCTCAATTGCAGGATTCTGGATGTCTAGATACTTTGTTTCGTACTGAAGCTTGAATTGCAATGTAGAATTCAGACTGATAATCTTCGAAATGCCCAACTTATGAAAAAATAGTAGTTTAATACTATATTGCTTTAATTTGTTCTCCGACTAATGTCATTTCCTGGTAAATATTAACATCGAAAGTATTTTCCGTTATGTTTTATATTTGTATTTTTTTTCAGAAAATCTGGCTTCTTATACACGTTTCTTGTCAAACTGTATCACATTTTATTAAGGTAAATATCTATTTCTTTTATAGGTTTGTGGTTAATTTTAGTCATAAATAAAACTTAGTTGACTATTTGAAAAGGTAAGTAAACGAATTACTGAATCGTTATTTATTCTTAACTACTTTTTATATGCTAGATTTACTGTCAGTGTGTAACTCAGCACAGTGTTGACGTTTAAAAGTAGATTATTTGGCATAGAAAACTATCGGAAAATAAAACCAAATCATTTTCATCTAGAAAACGTTAAAAATTCATTAAATATTTATCCTTAATAATCTCACAAACAAAAAATGAATCTATCGGTTAAAGGACGTCACTTCAGAACTATTGAAAACCAATTTTACTGGTTGCGATAAGCAGGAAGAAATGTATCGTTTGAGGGACGCTTATTCTATCTTCCTTCCTTACTTACTCCTGTTAGCCTCCATTAGAGCTTAGGCCGCCGACCAGCATTCTCCAACCAACTCCAGTTCTATCCAATTGTTGTTCATTCTTCTCATGTCTGTCTTCATTTCTCGGTGTAATGTGTTCTTTGGTCGTCCTCTTCTCCCTTGACCTTCAGGATTCCGTGTGATGGCTTGTTTCATGACAACGTTGGCTGATTTCATCAATGTATGTTCTATACACTTTCAGTGCTTCTTACTGGTTACTTCCTCCGCTGGAATCTGATTTGTTCTCTCACACAGTAACTTGTTGCTGATAGTGTCTGGCTAACGAACCCGAAGTATTTTGTGTAGACAACTGTTAATAAACACTTGTATCTTCTGAATGTTGGCTTTCGTAGTTCTCCACGTTTCCGTCCCATACGGTAGAACTGTCTTGACATTTGTATTGAAAATTCTGACTTTAGTGTGAGTGGACAGT